CAGGGGGGCTGCGGGACTGCATTGCGCCATCCCCATCAATAGGTGGACCCCCTCCCAGCCCCATAAAGCCACCGGAGTCGAAGCTGGCAGCCTCTGCTGTCTGAGATCGCAGGTGTCGGTAAGCGCGCTTGGAGCGGGGCTGCGGATGACAGCTAGGGCTGCCCCCCATGGGGCCCAAACCAAATGTATGTGCGGCCCAAACCAAATTTTCATCTTCTAATGTGGCCCAGGGAAGGCGAAAGGTTGGACACCCCTGCTGTACAGTACTGTACAAGTCACAATCTTTGGCTCCTCTAGTGGCCAGTTCTGCTAACTTCATTTTTAGAAATATATATTTCTACATTTTTCCCTTTAATATTTTTAGTATTTTCAGACCGTGGATAAGTGAATCCGTGGATAATGAACCCGCAGATAAGGCAGTCCTACTGTACTAAATTTCAGCCTTTGAATGCCCAAAGCTTGCCTGTTTTTCTTGAGTACAGTGCAAGATGTGGTCCTGTCACTTTATCTTTTGACCCAGGCGGCAAAATTCTTTGATCGGATATTTATTGTTGGTCTTTGTGTTCTGAGTTTCTTCCCAAAGGGCAGTTGACAAGATAAGCTTTCCAGCTGAGAATGTAGTAAGCTGCTTAGTTAAATTTATGCCCTGCTTTTCCTCCAAGGAACTCCGGGCGGCATTTGTGGCTCTTCTCCACCCCATTTTTTCCTCATAACAACCCTGTGAGGTAGGTCAGGCTGAGGGAATGTTTGGCTCAAGGTCACCCAGTGACTTTCATGGCTTGGTGGGGATTTGAACCCGTATATCCCAGAGTCATGTCCAGCTGTCTCATTGCAGCCCCCTGTCTTGCCCCTTCTCACCACTTCTAGGAACACATATGGACTGGTATTGGGGGGGGGGCAGAGAGTGCCGGCTAGAACAAGGAGGGCCAGCTTTGTATGTGTGTTTTTTGGGTGGTTGTGTTAGGGTATTGTGTTAGGGACGTGAGACTCACCACTACCGTTCCCCTCACCATGCTGGTCTACTGGGTGCTTTTGCACGAGTATTAACTCCTTTCCTCCCTTTGCTGTTCTCCGTTTAGTCTTCCCAATCAATCGCTTTCATTCTTCCAAGCTGAAGGAGATGACGGTAAGTTCTTAGCATTTACGGGTGACTGGAGACTATGGAGGGGGTAGCTTAGGTAGCAGGGCCTCTCTTAAAGCTGTGCGGGTGCTGTCTTCCAGATGGGACTGCATTTTCCCCCTATTCTTTTAGAAAGAGGGAGATGTCTCTCCCTGCCCCTGGCTGCTCAGAAATGGTAATCCCAGCTATTGGCATAAGGTGTGCATAACTTGTTGTGATCAACTGATGAGGTGCCACAGCAGGTCTCTGTGGTGTGCCTGATCATACGCCCAGTTGTGTAACCAAGATGTGCTCCTCCTCCTAGTCTAGTAGCCACAATTAGCTGGAGCAAATTATGCAAACCTTTCATGATTCCAGAAAATATTTCCCAAGATACCTATGCTTTAATTGTGATCACACTGTTATATCATTGCATACTAAGGGCTTTAAACAAACACCTACCTACCCTCAGTCTCTCTTTCTGTCTTGTAGATTCTGTAGTGGATCAGTATGAGAATATGCCAGAATCTGAGCGGCATTCGCCTGGTGAGTAGGGAACGCAGATAAATTAAGTGTGCTACTTGGCTATCAAAGAGGGCACAAGATGCTGACAGGGCATCTTTGGCAGGTGATGGCAGAATGGACGGTGTCCTTCCAGCCTGTAGGTGGGAAGATTCGTGTGAACGCTTCCCTGCAGAGCTGGCTCAAGGTATTTTGCCACCCAAGAAGCAGCAAGTGGAATCTGCACTTGCCCAAATCAAGGTACAACAGGGTGGAAAGTGTGTAGCCAACTAGGACTCCCACACACACCCCCAAACAAAAATATCTTAATGGTCATTAAAATATTCATTGAAATATTATTTAAAAAAATTCTTTTTTCATCCCAAAAATGTTTATGAAGACTTCCAGAGGTACAGTCACCTATTGAAAAGGCTATTAACTCCTCCAGATCTATTTTAGGTGTGTATTATTGAAAGCTAGCCATGTTTGCTTTGGCACATAGGCAGCAAAATCCCACAAGCAACCCTCTACACTCTCTGGCAGTATTTATACAAACATCAGCATGAACGCTAATAAGCTGATGTTTCATGAAGCCTCGAATCTGCCACATGAGGTACCCACCTCATTCTGCCTAATGGTAGAGCAGGTCTTGTTTTGTTGTTTTTTATTTTATTTTATTTCCTTACATAGTTTTGCAATCAGCAAAGGAATGCAAAATGATATGAGCTGGGAGAAATCCCTTTTCTCTGCTGTGTGCGAGATGGCTGCACACACATTCCCAAAAAGGAGAGATTTGCATGTACTACTTACTGTATGTGCATAAATGCAAATTTAGAAGCAATTAATATAGCCAGAAATATCATCCTCTTCTCATTCTAGGAGGGAAGACTGTCAGCAAGGGGACCCGTGTACCTACCCGATCCATCACCCCTCTGGGTGCTAATGGCTCATGCCCTTGGTGCTTCCAAGGCCTCTAGTTATTTCTCTTGACACTGGACTTGGGATAAGGGAACCTTTCCATTAATAGAGGATACTTTCAAAATGAATCCCACAAGTACAGGCCTATTCATTTTTAAAGAGAACAGATGGTCGGCCTATGTGCTAGTCCTCTGCTTGGAAAAAGATTGGTATTTTGGGAAATTTATAGGCCAGGCTACAGTTTAAGAATAGGGTGAGTTTTCCTAAGTTAAATTAGTTCGCTATTTTTATATTCTGAAATGTCTTCCATTTGTGGATGCAGTTAGATTTCAGGCATTTGCAGAAAAAAAACCACAGGATTATGAGAAAAGAGGGATTACCGCTTTACCACATTTTAATGTTGTTGTTTTTAAAAATATATATGGTTTTCTAAACACATGATTAAGAGATGCAGGATTAACTTTCATCTGTAGAGTCTTACCAGACAACAAAATGTTGGAGCTTTGGACTGGAAATGACTTTAAAGAGATTAAACACAAGTCTTAAAAGCTGTAAACTGGTCTTCCTGCCTTGGTGGCAGACATAGGCTGCATGACTCACTACTGCCACTGAAGCTGTGTATGCTGTGTGCTTGTGTTGTTGTTTGTGTGTTAACGTGGGCCTGGATAGTATGCAGGATATAAAGTACCACACAACTGAGTTCTGTGAAATTATTCACCTATAACCAAAGTCAAATGTTTAAAAACAGAAGTTAACAGATGTGGAGATGTTTCAGCATACAAAATTAGCAACGGAAGGTATATTCATAAAGATAAAATTATGAAAATAATTGCAGACAGCAAATGACACTAATATGCAGATATGCTCACCAGTGGCCAGAATCCTATTGGTGATTTACACCTGCATAAGGAAAATCACCAACAGGATTCCAGCCATTATGTTTAGTAAGGCTTAGTCCACAGGGAATGTTGAGCAAAGAAAAGTAGTAAGCTGAAATATTCAACCAATGCTGGGTGTTTTTCTGAATTTCTTGTAAGTGAGGTATGTTAAACATTGGTTTGGATAAGTCTGGTACAGTTTTGTTTTTATAGAATAATTTGCATAGATTTGAAATAAAAGAAAGCCACGTACGTGGTCATTACACTATACAAATGCGGGAGTAGGTGATACCTTTATAAACACTTTAGTGGCCTATAAAGGTATCACCTTCTCCCACATTTGTATTGGGTAGCTTTGCTGTCATAGCTCAACAGGTGTACTGCAAAGTTTATGTCAACCAATTTCAGTGCTGAACACAGGACTGAAATTGGGTCTGGTTAAATCACATGACCCCACCTCTGCACCAGCCTTGTCCAGATGAGGTCCCTCCAGAATTTTTTGGATTACAGATGCCATTCTCCCCATCTATCATGGATAATGGGAGCTGGATGCCAAAATATCTGCAGGAGTCCAGGCTTGGGAAAGCTGCAGTACACCATATTATCATGATTTTTAGGGGTGGGATCAGAAAGCATTCCTGTTTTATTACAGAAACTACATGTGAATGTCTCTCTCTCTCTCTGTCTCATTCCCTTTTTCTGCTACAGGTGACTATGTCAATGTATTAGAACCAGAGGCCACCATCTTAGATCCTTGTTTTGGTGAGTGAGGAAAACCTACAGTAGGGATCAGAGTGGGAAGTTCTCCCCTTCAGCAATATTCTCATTTCCCCATGAGTCCCCCCCCCAATCAACATTTTCTCTGTCTAGATGTTCTCCTGTTGCAATCTGACGCTTCCCATCTTCCTGAAAGGGGCAGCAGTGATCAAGAGAGTGAAGAGGACACGCCAGACTATGAGAACGTCTGCTCTGGAGTTTGAGGTACAGTACTTGGATTTCAGGAACAGGGCTGGGAAGGGCTTAATCTGTTTGCGCTAATGGCATCCGTGGCTTCTGGCATGTATTGCAGTAACAGAAATGCCTCTGAGCATGTGTAGAGCTTGAGCTTCATGTCTTTTTCTCCACCCTAGGCTGAGTCATTTCAAGGCAGCAATCCTCGGGAGCTCTAAATATCGATGCGCAAGGTGGATCTCCATTGAGCTTGGCAACCTGAGGATTCCTATTCCCCAGTCTTCCTCCTAGATGTCAACATAACTTATTGCCTTCCTTTGCACTTTGTCTGACATGTCCTGAGAACTTCCCATTGTCTTTGGTAGCAAGATTCATAAACTTGATGGTCCAGGTGTATCTGGTCATCTCCTCTCCTCCGCCCCTTTTCTCTCAAGCAATCTGTTGTTGGCTACATAAAAATCAGGAGTTCCATCACTGTTGTACTTCAGTTGCAATTGATGCAAGGTTAAATATGCTGTGGGAGCCTTGAGGTGAAGGCTAACAAGAGTGTGCAGGATCAGCTAAAAAGATGAACCTTGGCAGTTGTTAAACAAGAAAGTGGGGGGGGGGGAATCCTAAACTTGGTTTCTATCAGAGTTTGAAGATATTTGTTGGGACTATGACTCCCAGACTTTTCCCAGTTAGTGCGGCCAGTTCTGGGAGCTGTAGTCTAAAAAAGTAACTTTTCCAACCTAAAATGGAAATGACTATTATGTGCTTAAGTAGGGGCCAGTGCTCCCTGTAGTTTGGTTTCTTGGGATGACACACTGTTGGGGACTGAACTGTGCAAACTGTAACATTTGCTTTGTTTTGCAAACATATAAAAGAATTCTGCCCCTAGTGGTAGGAATGGATTAACCGGCTTTGCATTAGTTCCTATGGGAACTAATGATTCGAGTTGCAAACCGCCCCTCGACCTAAGAACCTAAAACAGCCGGAACGGATTAATTGGTTTTCAGTGCATTCCTATGGGAAATGCTGATTTGATTTACGAACTTTTCGACTTACAAACTTCCTTCCAGAACGGATTGTTTGTAAGTTGAGGACTGACTGTAGAACACTCACTGACAGACTCCAGAATAGAAGATGGGCATTTTCTTGTTGCTGGTCCTCCTTGCCTTATTCTGCTCTCCTGGAAAAACCAGAGTTGTCTACAGATGCAGTTGGGAAAGATGGGGATGAAGTAGGGATGGGTGAAATGTGTGTCATCAGGGATTTTACACAGATAACCTTAAAATAATGACCTTAGAACTGCAGAGCTGGAAGGGCTCCTATGGATCATGGAGCCCAGCCCATGTCCAGAAGACACAGTGTGGAATTGAAGACCCAACCTCCAGAACCAGATACCGAAATCACTGAGCTTTCCAGCAGTTCATTTGAGGAAGTTTTTAGTCTAAAGTTCCATCTTGTGGCTATTAAGGGATACATCACTGGTGTTTAGATTACATGCAGAGTAGACACTGTGCATACCAAAATCTGCATATTGCTCGATTGCTATAAGCAAGACTGCTTTGCACAGAAAAATGCATATAGCTCAGGAGTGTTTTAGTCGATGAGGGAAGCAGGAACCAGTAGTGCACATGATGTAAAAAATGTGAACAGGACGGCGCCCATTATAAAACCAATGTCTCAAAAGGAGGAAATTGAAAAAGTTAAGAAAAACCCAATAAAATATGGGCAGAAGTGGACGAGGATCACACTTGGAGATACACACGCAACACGGCCTATCTTCTAGGTGGTCTCAGGCTTACTTCCTGTAAGAAAAAGGAAACTGTTCTGGGAGGCCTAGGTATTTGAGGAAGGTGCAGGTCCTTAAGGGTCACCCTTAAGGGCAGCAAGACTACACTTCCCACAAAGACCTTGGGTTCCCAAGATGCCAAACTGTTCTGGGAGGCCTAGGTGTTTGGGGAAGGTGCAGGTCCTTCAGGGTCACTGTATCCTGATGGGCAGCAAGACTACACTTCCCACAAAGACCTTGGGTTCCCAAGATGCAAATGTGGCCGTTTCCTTTTTTGTACAGGAAGTAGGTCCCAAGACAGCCTGAAAGACAGGCCCCGGCTCCGTGTGAGCGGAATATAGGAGTTTGCGTCTCCACAGGAATGACCAGAATTTTGCCTGGAGAAAAAAGAAACAGCAATTCCCTACTTCAGACCTTGGAATAGTTACACAATAGCTGAAGAATTCTAGAAATACTAGTCCAAATAAGACACTTCCAAGCTGTGTAGGACATCTGGCCCCAAGGAGCTGAATGTTAGGGGGAAGAGGCAGCGTGGAAGGCAGAAGCCGGCAATCACTACTTATCAGATGGAGCAAATAAAACAAACCTAACTGGTAACAATCAGCAACAGTCTGGCCAACAATATTCAGTGTTAATGTTGGTTTTTAATGGAACATATATGTAAGTATTGACTGTGTGGACCACAGCAAACTGTGGCAAGTTCTTAAAGAAATGGGAGTGCCTGACCACCTTATCTGTCTCCTGAGAAACCTATATGTGGGACAGGAAGCAACAGTTAGAACTGGTCATGGAACAACTGATTGGTTCAAAATTGGGAAAGGAGTACGACAAGGCTGTATATTGTCCCCCGGCTTATTTAACTTATATGCAGAATACATCATGCGGAAGGCAGGACTGGATGAAACCCAAGCCGGAATTAAGATTGCCGGAAGAAATATCAACAACCTCCGATATGCAGATGATTTCACTCTGATGGCAGAAAGTGAGGAGGAATTAAAGAACCTTGTAATGAGAGTGAAAGAGGAGAGTGCAAAAAACGGTCTGAAACTCAACATCAAAAAAACTAAGATCATGGCCACTGGTCCCATCACCTCCTGGGAAATAGAAGGGGAAGATATGGAGGCAGTGTCAAATTTTATCTTCCTGGGCTCCATGATCACTGCAGATGGAGACGGCAGCCCTGAAATTAAGACGCCTGCTTCTTGGGAGGAAAGCAATGACAAAGTTAGACAGCATATTTAAAAGCAGAGGCATCACCTTGCCAACAAAGGTCCGCATAGTCAAAGCTATGGTTTTTCCAGTAGTGCTGTATGGAAGTAGAGCTGGACCATAAAGAAAGCTGACCGCCGAAGAATTGATGCCTTTTTGAATTGTGGTGCTGGAGGAGGCTCTTGAGAATCCCCTGGACTGCATGGAGAACAAACCTATCAGTTCTAAAGGAAATCAACCCTGAGTGCTCACTGGAAGGACAGATCCTGAAGCTGAGGCTCCAGTACTTTGGCCATCTCATGAGAAGAAAAGACTCCTTGGAAAAAACCTTGATGTTAGGAAGGTGTGACAGTAAGAGGAGAAGGGGATGACCGAGGATGAGATGGCTGGACAGTGTCTGCGAAGCAACCAACATGAATTTGACCCAACTCCGGGAGGCAGTGGAAGACAGGAGGGCCTGGCGTGCTCTGGTCCATGGGGTCACGAAGAGTCGGACACGACTAAACGACTAAACACATATGTAAGTAACTGGTTGGACAGTGTCACCGAAGTTATCAACATGAATTTGTCCACTGAAGTGTTGAAATGGGCTCCATGTGCAATAGCAATATGGCAACAAGTAGGTATTTAAAAGTTGAACAGAAGGAAGCCTCAAAGAGGCTCCTTCCTCACCTAGCAACCAGGCACACACAATGTTTGAAGTAAAGCTACACAAATCCTCTAATCACAATTACACAGCAGCTTCCCTCAAATCTGTGCCCTCCAGGTGTGGACTGTAGTCTCCATCATCCCTGACTGCTTATTTTGCTGGTTATGGCTCATGGGAATTGTAGTCCAAAACATCCAAAGGGAATCAGGCTGCCTGCATCTGCTTTCAGCACCTTTTCCTCCCAGATGTGGCTAGTTGTGGCCACACTCCATGGCAAGAAGCAGCCTGCGTTCTGATCTCCCACCTCAAGTCTGGATCCTGGCATTGGGTTGGACGGAGGACCTCTGGGAGAGCCAAGGTGAGACAGGAGTTAGACCAATCTAGGATTTAGGAAGTTCTTCTTCAGTTTCCCACTGAGCCATAAAACTGCCTGGGTAACCTTGGGCCAACCACTGGTTCTCAGCTGACCCACCTCACAGGGCTGTCCTGCAGATATGGTGGGAAGGACAACACTGCCATGAACTCACTGGAAGAAAGGCAGCATATAAAAGTAATATATAAAATCAAACCCTGTGGGGAAAATAGCTTGCACACCCGGGTGCAAAGCAGGCTCTTCTCTTCTTCCTCCCAGTCCTTCAGGAAATTTAAGAGCTCCAGAAATACCAAGACTGGGGGTGGGGGATGGTTCGATTAAGGGGCTTTCTCTTTAAGATCCACCCCTTGGACTCTGGCTGGGGTGCAACCAGTTGGTCCCGGGGATTTGCACGCGGTCAGCGGAGGGCGAGGCGAAGAGGGGCCCGCTGCCGGAGGAAGAAAACGGCGGAATACACGCGGCGCCCCCCCCACCCCCGCCGCCATGGAAGGCTCGTAAGCAGCTGATCGGGCAATGAAAATAATGCTAATAGCAATCATAACAAAACTTGGGAAAGTTGTGATTGGAGTACAGAATACCTCACCCAGCATGGTCACTAGCTGTAGGATTTGGGGAGCAGTAACAATTTTCTTAAACGTGGAAGAATCATAAGAATAATTATGAAGCGCTCAATGTTTAATATTCCACCCCCTCCAAACCTTGCTTTTTGCAATGCAGCTGCGAATGCATTAAAGGGAGAGGGAGGGTGGGCCGTAACAATCCTAATACTCGCGCCTAAACTAAATGCACTACATCTCGTATTCTTTGAGCGCTCGCTACTGCCCCTCTGGGCTTTACACGAATGAGAAGCATTATGGTCGCCGTCCTCGTTACCGTAATGAACGTAATATACCAACCTGTCGTTACTTGTTTACGTAATACGAAGTGGATACTGTACTGTCACACATTAAAAACGCTAACAGATTTGGATCGCAATCCACTTCTGATGCCAGATGGAGTCCTCCTAACGAATTTAGAACATGACACAGCACCAATTTGCTCCTGAGTTGGCAAACTTCATTTTTTATTTGTTCATAGAAAATGTTAGGAATGTAATAGCAGTTATAGGTGGATAAATGAAGAAAGGAGAGAAATAGTATTTTGCAGCTGAAATAATACACATGGCCATCAGAAATAGGACCCATTTTAGAACCATTAAGGCAGGATGTATACTGAGTTTAGTGGGGATTTACTTGCAAGTGAGGGTACACAGATATGTAAGTTCCCCATGCATTCTTACATTGATGTGAGGGACCTGTGACCCTCTATACTTTTGGCCAGGAGTCTCATCAGCAAGAACCATTAGCAACACTGCCTGTGGTGAAATATATTGAAGTCCAACTATGTTGGATGGCCACAGATCTTCATCCACCCCCAACTGGCTTAGAAATGTAGCATGCTGTGTCTCTTGTGTTTCACACTCTTGCCAACTTGTGTTGGTGTGTGTTTTGCCCTGCTGGCAAGGGTTCCCATTGCCACCTCCACCCCCAAGGTGGCTTCTATTCAGGCTGAACATCTTCAAACACCCTAGTATTTCCAGCAGCATGGAGAATTTGACACATAACAACTCCCCTGTGCTGCATGTAAACAATATGAAAGTTGCATTATCAGCAGACCAATCAGCTAATTAGTTAACACAGAGAGCCAGATTTTTGAATCATAATTCATTGATCCAAAACCTTTATAACGTGCTGCATCTCTTTAAAAACAAAAGCCCCGCATCTCCCCTTTGGTTTGTATTACCTGTGTTTTGTCTTTTATATACATGTAGAACTTGGAAGCATTTTTTTTGGACTACAGCTCCCAGAGTCCCCTGGGGACCGTGGGAGTTGTAGTCTAAGAAATAACTCTGAATAGGTCACCTTGTGTATTCTTCGCTGTTTGTCCACTGCCTTGCAGTCTCAAAGCACCCTCCAAGGAAGCCTATCGTGCGGCAATGGTGCTGTCCGGTGCAGGTGATGCCCTTGGATATCGCAACCAGCGCTGGGAATACTGTACTTCAGGCCCCCAGATACACCAGGAACTCCAAGAAATGGGGGGATTGGGCAAGATCCGTGCAGCCCTCCCCGACTGGCCTGTCAGTGACGACACTGTGCTGCACCTGGCGACCGCTGAGGCCCTAGCCACAGGTGAGCAGAAGACGAGCTTACATGTCAAGCTTACATGGCCTTGCTTGACATGCTCTTATTCCCTGGTGGATCACGTTGCTGTCTTCTAGCATGTTCAGAGGGGTTAGTCCTAAGTGGGACTGGCTCCAGGTTTGAGAAGGCAGTCTTCTTGCTTGGAGCCATTCTGCATCATTGGTCCATTTGGGCTTACCTGGTGGTCGTAATAGAATCTCTCTGATCAGGAGTGGTAGATAAGTCAGTACAGTATGTTATGTTTCCTGCATTGGTGTGGGGCAGCCCAATCCACCCCCTAGGTTTTATCAATGGCTTTGCAGTGTTATGTTTCCTGCACTGGTGTGGGGCAGCCCAATGGACCCCCTAGGTTTTATCAATGGCTTTGCAGTCTACCTAGGACAGTAGTTCTCAATGTTGGGTAACGCAGGTATTTTTGAACTGCTACTGTAAAGGACAGTATCTCCCCATGTGGCCCTTCTGAGTAAGATCATAAAAAGGAGGCCTTCCTCTTTGTCCTGTTGATGGGGACACAAAAGACGGTCTTCTCTGTGATTGTTCCCAGGTTATGGAATGCTCTCCTTCGGAGGCCTTCCTCTTGGTCCTGTTGATGGGGACACAAGAGACGGCCTTCTCTGTGGTTGTTCCCAGGTTATGGAATGCTCTCCTTCTGGAGGTCAAGTTGGCCTCCTCCCTTTGATCCTTCTGGTAACAGCTGAAGACCAGCCTTTTCAGGCAGGCTGTTAGCAATCATGACTGAGTCTCTGAGTGCCATTTTTTAAGTTGAGATAGTTTTTAACGCTTTACCTGTTTTAATTATTCATGTGTTTTAACCAGTTTTATAGTTTGCTTTTAAATGTATATCTCACTGTGCTTTAAAGATGCCTTGAGTCCCCTTATTGGGAAAAAAGTAGCTTATAAATAAGACAACAACACAACAAACAAACAAAAAACAAACAAACCTATCGGTCAGTCATTCGGTCCCCCGGAAACTCCAGTTGTCACAACTAGTGGTAAAAGCTTCTGGGTTATCTATGGTTGGTAAACACTGACCTAGGGGATGAAATGCATCTGGAAAGGCCATTATGATTTTTAGAGCAGAGTTGACACGAGCTAAAATTGTGTCCTGTTCAGTTCAGTTCCTCAGAAAGTGGCAAAATCTGAGCCCCCATTAACGGGCAGAACAGTGAACTGATAGCAGACTTGACTAATTCCAAATGGCGCCATCCATTCATGCGGCTAAGGGGTTGTTGCTAAATATTTGACTGTCAGAATTGTATGAACTGAGACATGCAGACTAGTTTGGAAAATGATGGAGGGAAAAGAACTTGGTGGGTTTGGCAAGGTTTTTCTGGTGATGAAAGGCCTGATGCAGCTGTGTGAAGAGGAAGGCTTTCAAATTATTTTAAACCATTGTTAAAATTGTGTCTTCCTTCTATGCCACATAGGGAAGAATGGGGAGCCCCTGTTCCAGGAGCTAGGCAGGCGCTACGTTGAAGCCATGAAGGACATGGAAGGGAGGAAGCCTGGGCCTACGAGCATTCTGGGTAATGTACCTCAGCGGTCCCTTTTGCCAGTTACAAAGACCCTATCCTGTGAGAGACTAAGGGTATTAAGCTCATCTGTGTTCTTTAAAAATTATGAATAAATTATTATGAGGAGGTTGCCATCTAAAAGACAAAGTGTATATTACAGAGAGAATATCATTAGAAGAATGGAATTCCTTACATGCTGAAAACATCTGATTGTCTTAGCAAGCTTTTCATAACCCCCGCAGCTTGCAAATGAGCAAATCATTTGCGATTGGTCTTCCAAATACAATTCCTCAGACTCCCAAGATTTCCCAGAATCACATTTTTGAGTATTAATGCTATTTCAGCTTTGGGTGATGTTTTATTTATAATGTATAATTCAACTGTAGAATATAGACAGGGATCCATTAGTAGAATTCCATTAGAAAACCTCCACCTTCTCTCTCTCTCCCACCCCCACCCCCACCCCCACCCCCAGATTCATCTTTTTTGGTTGTTGGTTTCTTTACTCCTTCAATTAATCCAGAGGAATGTGGGATGGCAGCTACTCCTTGCTGTAGCAGATAAGGAAAATTATAGTTTTCCTTCCCTTGAGATTGTTGTTCCCTGTGTATCAAATCCCTCTCCCATGGTCTCCACATTGGATATTTATTTACTACCATGCTACGTAGTTTCAATATTCCGGGCCAGATTCAGAGTCCGAGCAACCTAAGATGATGAGACATGAGGAAACACCTTTTCTCTAATTATCCTGCCCGGTCATAGAGGTCTTCTGAAGGGACTGTCTTTTGGGACCCATGGACTCAATTCATTTGGAGGCCACTAGGAGTATGACCTTCAGTGTATTTCATTAGGATACTTCCACTCTGTGAAATTACAGCTGAAATTAGGTATGGGTCAGCACTTGTTTTAATTTGTTTTGTCTTGTTTTAATTTACTATATAGGTTAACCTGGATGTGGAAGCCATTATAAATGCTATAAACAAATCAAGATGATAGCTTATGAAATATCTAGGACGAATGACATGTACCCCATGTAGCTTATCCCTGGAGAAGTTAATGCCTCTCCTTCTTTTCTCTTCTTCCTGTAGGAACATCTCAGTTATGTCCTGGGGAGCCAAAGGGTTATCGCATTCCCTTCAACCCCCAAGCAACAGGCTGTGGGGCCGCCATGAGGTCCATGTGTATCGGGCTGAGGTAACAGGGGTGGGATAGGGCTGAGAAGGGGCAACAGCAGCATAGCTGATGGGCAGGTATATCTCCACCATGACCAACATCTCGTCTAGGTATCCTCGTCCTTCCGATCTCCACTCTTTGATCCAAGTCAGCATAGAAAGTGGCCGGATGACACATCACCACCCCACAGGTAAAGGGGGCGTGTGAGGCAGAAAGCCCATCATGGTATGTGTCTTGTATTTAGGATAAGGCTGACTGAATGAAAGCGGGTTGTTGTTGGTAGATGACTCATGTTTTTTTCTCTCTGGTCTTTTTAACTTTTAACTGTTTTGTTGCTGTGATTTCTAAAATGGAGTTTACTGTTCATTTTAATTATCTGTTTGCTGGCTTCTTCCTTTCTTAGTGAAAAGGTAGAAATGTAATTATGAAAATATCTTGGTCTTCAGCTTGATGCTACCTCAGGGCTAGCTAAGCTTTTTATTTTATTTTATTTTATTGCCTAAGCAAAGGGCAAGATGACAACGGTTGTTTAGGAATAAAATGACAGTAAAGTAGGAAGTATGTGTATATAATATATAAAATATATTATATATTATATAATATATTATATATAGTGTGTGTACAAATTATATATAAAGAGCTAGACCGCTTTTTTTCTCACTGAAGTGTATTTTTTCCCCCCAAATTATTATTGCCTTCTTACGGTCTAAACTTCGTACAGTCAATTCCAGTGCGTCAGGCTTAGATCTAACCTCAGTACAGTACTTGCTTAGATCTAACCTTAGACTGGCTAAATGTGAAGGCAAATGTCACACTTTAAGAGTAGCCATTATGGGTCCTTGTCATGCTTATTCCACCTTAATACTTTGCAGAGATAAAGAGACAATGAATTAAATTTGGATCCAACTGGCTTTACCCCACCATTGCCTGCTTTAAATAAACTAAAGCCATTTGCATATGCATATATGTACAGTATGTACTGTAGACACATTTGAAACACTTTTTCTTCATTTGCTGATTAAAGTTTTCAAAATTCTTGCCAGGTTAATGTATGAATTAAAGAAGAGCACTGTGCATTAAGGATATCTCCATCAGTTTCCCTTAGATTCAAACTGAACCATGGGGGGGGGGAGTTATGCTTGTACTGATCAGGTGGGGGAACATCTTTCAAAGAGCTCCTGCAAGTTTAGCTTTCATTCAGATCACGGCTTAAACCATAAACCATCCTGGGAAACCTTGGGAAAATCTGTATAACAGCAGCGAGGAATCTGTGTCTCCTTAGACTTCCTGAGACTTCCATTCTCAGAAGCCTGAACCAACGTGGCCGGTGCTAAGGAACCGTGAGGGCTATAGTCCAGAACAGCTGGGTTTGCTTTCCTCCACTCCCCACCCTGATCTACTATGCAGATGGTTATGATGGTAAAAGGGATCAGCTCCACGCATGAAGGGTAATGATTCTGCCTGCCTTTATTTCTCTCTCCCTAGGATATCTTGGGGCTCTGGCTTCTGCCTTGTTTACGGCATATGCCGTGCAGGGCCTTCCCCTTGAGCGTTGGGGTGTAGGGTTACTCAAGACCCTCCCTCTTGCCTTAGAGTATGTGCGTGCTGCTGCATTTGAGAGTGAAGCCAATGTGGGGGCCTGGACCTATTTTCCAGAGAAATGGGAATGGTAAGTATATTCAGGAGGAATTTTGGAGAATAAGAGATTTCTGGGGGGCGGGGAGGAGAAATGTTAGGAGAGCAAAGTTTTCACTTTGATGGCAGTCACTGTGGCATTTTCAATTTCTAGCTATAGGAGACACTGAGCTCATAACTAGCAGGTGTTTATACTCCTTGGCTGCCAAAGGAATCAGATTTGCAAATGAGACCTGTGTTTACCTCTCCAAAGGCCAACCAGGAAACAAAGAAAAGTGGGCTGCAAACTGTGGAGGAGATTATTTTTGGGTGGTGACAATTTCCAGTTAAGGGAGCACTTTTTCTAAATGTAGAACTGAACATCTCATATAGGGAGAGCTGGCACACAGAACTGGTTTCAGCAGGGAGAGGGGAATTTGTGGTCCTCCAAATGTTGTTGAAATCAACTACCTTGAGTCTTCATCATGAACTCTGTTGGCTAAGGTTGATAGGAGTTATAATCAAGCAATATCTGAAAGGCTGAAACTTGCCCATACCTGGATATAGTATTGGCCTAAAACCAGGAAGGCCTGGGTTCAAATCCCTCCTTTCCTTTTAAATTTTTTTGATTCTTCTGAACTGGCCACTTTCTCACCCTAATTTGCACTTCTGCCCTGGTGCTGCCCATGGTATGTCTGCTCGTGAAATACTATCCGGAGAATCTTAGAGGAAGGAGAACTTGAAATTCTGTGACAAAATTTAGATCTATATAGCATTGTTGTTGTTTAGTCATTGTGTCTGAGTCTTCGTGACCCCATGGACCAGAGCACGCCAGGCCCTCCTGTCTTCCACTGCCTCCCCGAGTTTGGTCAAATTCATGTTGGTATATAGCATAGTTCATTCTAATATCCATTTCCCACTGCTGTATCCCCCTTTATGGACACAATAGTCCAGTTTTTTTTTAAAGTGCTTTGTACAGGATAGGTTCTGGCCAGTTAACATGAAATGCAACAGGATTTATTTTGATTTCGTTATCTTTTAAGAAATCAAAACTGCAAAATTCATGGTTGAATTCATGTTCCTGGTCAGTTTCAGCTCCGTCTCCATGTCTCCCTCCTTCACATGCATAGAAGCACCATTGTGGTCAAAATGTCTCCAGACAATTTCAGCCCCCTTTGCTACCTTTCCTTCTCCCCTCCGTGTGTGTGTGTGTGTGTGTGTGTGTGTGTGTGTGTGAAGGCTGGCCGCCAAAGAACTGATGCTTTTGAATTGTGGTGCTGGAGGAGACTATTTGTTTGTTTGTTTGTTTGTTTGTTTATTTTTCACCTAGGCGGCTTACAAGATCATAATATCATTTCCAGATTATAATAATAATAATTTTAAAAAGAGTAAACTTAACAGCAACAGCTGCTTGTGGCTGTGAGAGGCAGCCAGCGTGAGGGCGGGCATGCACAGGACAAAGCCTCAAATGCAACAATTATGGCTGTGAGAGGCAGCCAGCGTGAGAGTGGGCATGCACAGGACAAAGCCTTAAATGCAACAGTTCTAAAAGCCCATGTCAGCCCCTCAACCAATATACAATGCAGCTTAAAGACAGGTTAAATGTTTTCCCAAGAGTATGCGCACACTGACACAAAACCTGTGTAGCTACAACATGACTTCAAACTAAATTCAAAGCCCCCAATCCCTCACCCAATTTATTCCCTTAGTGTAACTGTGTCATGACAGTCTGAGTGTCTATTCAGGTTTTTCCATTCCCTTTCTCCCCATTCCTCCCTTGGTTTTGAATTTAGGTACCTCTCAGAACGCGGCCTTGCTGAGGGCCAGGGCCCTGCTCGGTTCCCTCCTGCCTATGGTCCCACGGAGCGTGATGTCATCTACAAGACCTTCAGCTTGGATGGGTGGGCTGGGCGGAGTGGACACGATGCTCCCATGATCGCCTATGACGCTCTGCTGGCAGCTGGGGACAACTGGGAAGAGCTCTGCAGCCGTGCCATGTTTCATGGGGGTGAGTCTGGAAGCCTCTTCCTTTACTCCATCCCTCTGGGAAAAAGCCCTCTGGCTGCAGCTCACTAGGTTTCTTTGTACTTCTTCCCTTTCATTCCGCAGGGGACAGCGATTCCACTGGGGTGATTGCTGCCTGCTGTTGGGGTCTCGCTCATGGATTCCGAGGTGTCCCAGAAGGAAACCATGCAGAGCTTGAGTACCGAGACAGGATGGTGGCTGCTGCAGATTCCCTCTATCACCTTGCATGGGAGCAGGCGCCAGTCTGACAGGCATTGCCTCTACCTAGCAAACCAGACCTGCTCCTCAAATTTCTGGGCCAGGGGTGGGGAGCTGAGGGGAGCTTGTAACCAGCTGGAAAATGCTTTTTTGCAGAATAAAGTTAAGCCTCATCTGCAGTTCTGCTTCTGCCTTGGAAAAGTTTCAGGTCCTATATTTCTAAGAGCTCCTAAGAAAAATATCCCTATTTTGTTGGGAAATTTCCTTGCTTCCAGGTTCCAAAAGTCTGGAGAAGTACTTTGATTATTTAATGGTGAGAGAAATGCACTCTGCACATGTCCAGAAGCATTCTCTTTTTTATTATTATTGTTTCACGTAGTCCATGCCTTAACCCTGTTGGGCCAAAAATAATACTGGATTAATTTCTCCACCATTTAAGAGAATGGAAGAGTTGCAGGATCCTTCCAGATATGGCTTTCAATGTGCCGTTGCTCTTCCCGATTCACAGAATTTTAGGGTGCGGGTGGGAATCAAGAACACTTGGTCTTCCACTGGTAACCCTTCTAAAGTTTTTTAGAAGGGTGCTTTCATCTTTTTTTTTTCTTATTGCACAAAATTATTGCTCCAGCTGGAAGCATCTCTAGCTCTCCCTTATATGGCTAGAATCCCTTTTCTCTCCCAAAAAACCGAGGAGTCCTGGACACACAGAGGCCCGGCCAAAATGATTTAATTTGGTACCAAGGCTTTTTCTTTTTTGGATAGCCAAGCTGTGATGTGTGCAACGTTGTGGAGAGAATGCGGGGTGGTGGAAGAGAGAGGGGGAGAGACACATTATTGTAATTGTAGCTCCTGTGCAGGGATGGCAAAAACATGCAAGAATACCAAGGATTTTCCATCTAAACATTCTAATTAGAAGGCAGCTTTGGCCCCAGAAGGTGATGGGATTGGCCTTTTACTTCTGATTTTCTGCATTATGGATTTATGGGAACTGTTTCAAACCCATGATGCTACTGGGAGCAGCCCCAGTTTGTCACATGCCAAACGTATTGTAGCAGCAGATGATGGGCAACTAAGCTTAGGGTCTCAAGGAGCAGCGGGGTTGGTCACACTCCCCTAGCAGTAAAAAAGTAAAAGGGAAAAAAAGGTGGTAGGGCATCTATAGAGGAAGAAGAGAATGATGTGATACCATGGTGAGCTTGAGAAAGGATCCAAATGGGAAGGAAACCATGATAGGAATGTTAGGGGCACAGTGGTACAATTGCCAGCAGGAGAACATAATGAGAAAACAGTAAGGTAAGCAAGCAGATCATACTGGGACTGGCCACATCCAATAAGACACACATCCCTTGTCCATGATTCTGTTTCTCCTCATCGAAGTAGAGGGTTCTAAGAAGCCATCAGGCACACATTGGCATGTCCTTAATTAGCGTACCATGATGGGGAAGTCATTGAGAGCATCACTCTTGATGGTAGCCTCCGAAGGAAGGGTTCAGGGTCTCACTGGCGTCTGTGCAAGGTATAAAGTGTTGCTGGAAGTGGCAGCCAAGACACCACGGGCACTGATGTGAGTACTGTAGACACCCCCGGGCAGATCATTCAGCACCCCTGTACTCTGGTGGGGAAATGAGAGAAAACGGTGAATGAGAGAAAAGGCGGAATGCGCTCATGTGTCCTTCATGGGGCTGAGTGAGAATTTTCAGTTCAGTTTGACCCAAATACAGTGGTGCCTCGCTTAACGATTGCTTCGTACAACGAAAAATTCACTTAACGATGGCTTTTTCGGAGCAATCTTGTGCTTCACTTAACGATTTTCCCTATGGGCGATTTTCGCTTAACGATTTCGGGACCATGCTTCGCTTAACGATGACAGTTTTAGGTCCCCTTGTTTCACTTAACGTTTTTTTTACAGCCCGATTTTTGCTATTTTTAAAATATTCTAAAATGTTTAAAAAATGTTTAAAATGCTTGGAATCGTTAGTGCACCTAATAAAACCTTCGTTAACTTAATTTGGCTTTGTTCTGAGTGTTTTTGAATTTTTTGTGAATTTTTCCCCCATTGAAATAGGCTTCAATGCATTTCAATGGGTTTCGCTTAACGTTTTTTCCTATGGGGATTTTCGCTTAAGGATGGTAATCCGTTCCAATTGGAACAGATTATCTGGTTTTCAATGCATTTCTATGGGAAATGGTGTTTCGCTTAACGATGTTTTCACATAGCGATTTTTTTTGGAACCAATTAAAATCATTAAGCGAGGCACCACTGTACATTCTGTATAGATCATAGCAGGAGATTTAAAACAAATTAAATGTTGGAGGAGTTGAAGCTGACCATTTTTTGTCCATTCAGGCCTGGGCTTTGAGTGCTTGGCCTTGTTTGAATCCCCCTCTATACTGTATTTAGTTGCGTTAGTACAAAATTAAGGCTGCCAACTATTTTTTTTTCCTGAGCAGATCCTCATCCTTCATGGCTACATAATACGTAGGTACAATATGTACCCTCATAAATTCTGCTCATTGTCTCATCTGACCTTTCGCTATAATAGCCTTTCTCATCATGTGCTATTTATTTATTTATTTTGATGTCTATCCTGCCCATCTAGACCAAAGGTCTACAAAATTAAGGCTGCCAACTATTTTTTTTTCCTGAGCAGATCCTCATCCTTCATGGCTACATAATACGTAGGTACAATATGTACCCTCATAAATTCTGCTCATTGTCTCATCTGACCTTTCGCTATAATAGCCTTTCTCATCATGTGCTATTTATTTATTTATTTTGATGTCTATCCTGCCCATCTAGACCAAAGGTCTACTCTGGGCTGGGCAGAAATTTAAAAACAATAAAACCAATAAGCATATATATAAATCCAAGATGGCAAAAGTATAAGAAATTGAGATACGGCAGGAGGGAAGCCTGCCCAAATAGCCAGGTTTTAAGTTTGTTCCTGAAAACACCCAGAGAGGGAGCCAGGCGGATCTCCACTGGCAAGTTGTTCCAAAGACAAGGGGCCTCTGCCGAGAAGGCCCGGTTCCTCGTTCTTTCCTTCCGGACCTCCCTTGGCATTAAGTCCCTCAGCCTATGTGATAGCCTTTCTTGGTGGAGTGCAGCTGGAATGTACAACCTACGTACTTTACCACTTTGCTATAGCTTCATTTCCACAGTCTGAAACCCTAATTAAGCAAAGTACATACCATGAGGATTCTCCTGTCAATGAGCCGACATAAGTTGTTCCGACTTCCACCAGCTATGATGTGGTCAGAGCCAAGTAAGTGGCAAGTATAAATCTAGAAAAGGAAGGGGTTAAAAAGAAGAATGTACAACCTACGTACTTTACCACTTTGCTATAGCTTCATTTCCACAGTCTGAAACCCTAATTAAGCAAAGTACATACCATGAGGATTCTCCTGTCAATGAGCCGACATAAGTTGTTCCGACTTCCACCAGCTATGATGTGGTCAGAGCCAAGTAAGTGGCAAGTATAAATCTAGAAAAGGAAGGGGTTAAAAAGAAAAGAAAGGATGAAGACATTAAGAGTTTGTTATCTCACAGACCCAGGGAAACAAGCCTTTCATTAACAAACCCATGGATTCTGAAACTCCTTGGAAATATTTTTTTAACTACAATCCCATGATTTGACTTTGTTGGACTACAGAATCCCCCTCAGGATCACTGACATGCATCTGACACATCTTAAGTGAGAAAAGAGAAACCTGAAATAGAGGGGTAGGATTCTTTCTAGGAATGAGTGTGCTAGAGGTGGGATTTTAGACAGTAAAAGGTTCTTTGTACCTCATTCAGCCTTGCCCAGTCTGACACGCTCTACCTGTATTGGATTACAAGTCCAATCACCCCAGCCAACATGGACATGCTGGCTGAAAGTTATGTTACTTGTAGTCCAGTTCATCCAGAGAGTGTCAGGTTGGGATGTGGAGAACTTTTCCCTTAAGAATTTGTATTGAGGTGCATTGAGGGTGTAGGAAAGCATTTATTCATCCTGGCCAGCAGAGACGACCACATAACAGTGCATGTAAAAACAGCCTGTAGGACCAAAGATCGTACATACAGTAGCTATATAGGATACATACAAAGGGCCATAAAAGGAGTAATTTAAACTGGCATTCCTTTGAACTTCCTTTCCTAGGAAGAAATTTCTTTCCAAGTGATAGTCCTTTGAAAATCTTTCAGGAAGAAGCCTGGGTTCTGTTTTATTGTTTTATTTTACATTTTAGTGAAGGTACGTGACATACTGTATTTCAGACAAGGGCTGTTTTCTCATGGTTCATTGAGGAATACTATATGCTGGGCTTTGCTATACATATGAAATATATTAGCTATCTTTATATAATCATAATCTATATGTCTATCTCTAAAGTTCTGTATAATGAGAGAGAGAGAGAGAGAGAGAGAGAGAGGCATTGTTACAGTAAGGACTGGGACTTCAAAATGACTCAGAAAGGTGATCTTCAACCTGTGAATGACCTCGGAAGTCTTCTGGAATGTCCATGATCTTGGCACCTGTTTCAGCATCCCAGATCTGTTCCAGGTGGGAAGAAAAAGTTGCATTGCTGTTTTATAGGACTATCAACAGTACGTGTAGCTATAGTCTAGATATTTAAGTAGAAGTTGTTAGGCCACACTAGACCTCTTATGGTTCTGTTTTGCTTCTTCTAATTCATTGCTGCTTTGGAGATTATGGAAATGACACAAAGGAGTGGGTGACTTGTACTGGTGAGAATTATAACAATTTAAATTGTAGTAAGGGCTGTTGCCCTGAATATTGCCTGGAGTAATAAAACAATCCATGTAAACAACAATGATAATTTAACTGCTATAGGAAACTCTGAATCAACTTTGGACAGGCTTCTCACCTGCAATGTGTTGTTCCGCCTCCAGGAGCCTGTCAGAACCTGTGTCCCAGTTTTGTCTATGGAGACAGCATCACCACAGACATGGGGTCCAGAGATGCGCCTATGAGCAGGGGAAGAGGCCAATTCATGAAAGGAGCAAGGAGACGGGAAGATAGGAGCTAAAGCCCAGGTGGGAAGGAAGTGGGGGAACAGAGCAAGAAACACAGCAGAGGAAGAAGAACTAAAAGAAGGTGGAAAGCGAGGGGGGGTGCCCTGGCAATGCATACCGTATAGAATGTGTTGTCTGCACGTTCCAGAACTGGGGGAACAGAAACCAGAGAATTTAGGTTAGATGGCGCTTTCTTTCTTTCTTTCTTTCTTTCTTTCTTTCTTTCTTTCTTTCTTTCTTTCTTTCTTTGTTTGTTTGTTTGTTTGTTTGTTTGTTTGTTTATTTATTTATTGCCAAGTTTTCAATGCTCGTTTCAACCCGTCCAACGAGGGTGCCAGGTGTATCTCCATAGACAGATTGTTCCACTATGACTTAATACCCATTTAATAAACTCTCCTCACCTAGCTCACATGGAAGGAGGGCTGTTGTTGTTTTTCCTTTTAAAGTTCCTGCTCCCAGAGAAGCCCAATAGAAGTCATTGGTCTGCTCTTGGAAACCCAACAGATTGTGAAAAGTTCTAGGTTGCACTTTGAGTTCAGACAGGGAACTAGCCAGCCTGCTAGGATTTGAAATTCCTCCCTGTCAAATGGAGAGAGCATCCTCTTGGAGGCACCATCAGCATCACGTGTAGGAGTGCGAGAGCAAGAAACTCTCAGCAGGCCCCCTTAAAAGGGAAGAGACAGGATGTGCAAACAGATACCTTTATCATTGCTCCTTTGACCGGTCCTGTAGAGAGCTGGGCCAAGACATTTTGCTGGGTAATGCTAAGGACCAGATGGCCCCCTCCATTTTGTGTATGGGAGCTTACTAGACTGGTAGTTGAACCAGCCCTGGTAATGAGAAACAGTTTACCAGCACAACCAAGAGCTGCAAGCCAATTTAGCAGCCACATTATATGAAATGAGCTGGCTGTATAGCTCAGTGGTTGGGAGTTTGATTCCCCACTGTGCCTCCTGAGAGAGGACAGCCAGCCTGTGTGGCCTTGGGCAAGCTGCACAGTCCCAGGGCATCTCCAGAAAAAGGGAATGGTAAATTGACTTGACAGCACACAATTATTATTGTTGTTTCTGTTGTTATTGTTGTTCCTTTGGCCTGTCAATTTTCACTGCCCCTTTCCAACCCTAGCTCAAGATTCATTTTTCTTCTTTGCCTTCACTTTAGTCCTGTTTGTTATCAAACCTTTAAAAAAATGTTATAACTAATTATGGGTATTTTTTTTAACTTGCTACATTTTGGATAATAAGCATGTGATGAGGTTATATTTCACCGGTAGCACAACTAGCAGGACTTCACTGGGGTCGTGAGTATGTTTTCTAGGTGAACATTTACACTTAAAGAGCATTTGGGGAACCCATTATTTCTTTAAAGTAGCTTTCCAAGCTCTGCTCCTTGTAACACCATCACCTGTACTGTGTCATCCCATCCTCCAGAGACGAAACGCTCATCATTGTCCGGGAAGAAGGTCAGCGCATAGACCCGGGACATGTGCCCATCCATCACATTTGGGGAATCACTGGAAAAAGAAAGGGGTTGCTGCTTAGGCTGATCAAAAGCCAACTTGAGCACACCTTACTAAATCCAGGACTCAATAGTTTAATATTACTGCTTAATATCCTGCTCCCACCAGCTCACCTTGGCTGAAAATTCTGCAATTTTTCCCAGGTTTGTGTGTCGTACATGTAAATGCCCGGTCCTGCTCCACCTGTGATGAACCTGGAGCCAGAAGGGTTGAAGGAAGCGATCATTGTCTGGCGATCCTCCGCTAAGGTGCGCACACAGGTGCGGGAAGGGACATGCCATAGCTTCAGCTTCCCACCAGAATCTGCCATTGGAAAAGAATCCAGGAATATATTTATGGTTTTGTGTGCAGGGGAGACCAACAACAGTGTTTTCCATATAGAAAGTAAGGGGAACAAATAGCTTTTCAGCCATCTTTTCATTAGTCCTCTAATTTTTCAGATATTTTGTTTTGACTTTTAACAGAATCATAGGCTTCAATTCTTTGGAGAGGCTGAAAAGTTACTTTAAAGGAATATAGCTCCCAGATACCCCCATCTACCTCTAGATATTTTAGTCTAAACAAGTAATTTCTCCAAACTCAGTTCATCTCTAAATAAGAAGCAAAGTATATGTTAATTTAAAAGCCAAGTGGGAATAGCCCCTAAGAAATCTGAAAAATGTAGCAAGGTCACATACATACATGGCTAAGAGGCTGCCATGATCTGAAGAGCTTTGTTGGAATTGGAATGGAGACATCCCAATTATAACAAATAGAAAAGGTGTCTGTAGTCTTTGGGATAGTTGATCTATAATTTGAAGTCAAAGAGGTACAGTACTGAGAATTCTGCTTATCAATTAATGACCCAAATCCTGTTGCGTAGCTATGCCTGCATAACTTGAAGTTGTGCAACTTGTGGGAGGTCTTATCCAGGAAGCAGTTCTGTGGGCACAGTTGCCCAGTCCATTGCATAGTTTGTTACACAACTAGTTACTCAAGGAGACACACATGCTACTGCATTTTTTTCCTGCTCAAAGCCAGAGTAAGGAAGTGAAACAGGCTGGAAACAGATGCTTGCAAAAACATGTTTAAAAACATTTTTAATATTGTCCAGAGATGACCGAGGCAGTACTTTCAGGTGAAACAGACTTCAAAGGATAACAGTAACCAAACAAAGCAAGCTAATCTGCATTTTCTTAAAGGTGAGAGAAACTCATGCTGTGACACTCAGATGCTTGAATTAGTTAAGGATTTTTCTCTTCTATGAAAAGGCAATCTCTAATATCTGCTTCTATTCACAAATGCAAGTTCCAGATTAAGAAACCGTGACAAAAGCATGGCCGGTGTGTGTGTGTGGCTGGCTAATTTGTCAGGCCCAGAGGAAAGCAAATAGTAAATATCAAGTGTCAGCCTAAACGAATGACATCACTTACAGGTGGCAAGCAAGACATCTCCATTGTGGGCGGGGCCACGGGGCATAAAGCGCAGGGAGGTGATAGGTAATCCTTGGGTCACAGTTTCACTGTCAGCAAGAACATGGTGAAGGGAGCCATCACTGACTGAAAAAACCTGGAGCAGAAGAGAGAGGACTTACGTAAAGAAAGGCATTCACAAGAACCGACTATGTGTGATTTGACTGCACAATGATAAACAGAGAAGTCCATTGGGCTCTGCCAAGAAACAAAATACTGAAGCTTTTAAATGGGGAGGGGGGCGGAATAAAAGGAGTTTGGTTCTTGTGCAAAATCCCAGAACAAGGGTGGGTGATGCCCTTATATTGGACTACTAGTATCTCAAAACCAGGCTAGCTTTTGAGTCCTTCTGGAATTTTAATGGATGGAAATTCAAAAACATGGCATGTTGTGTTTCGTCCTGAACAGCATTGTGTTGCTTCCTGATCTGAGCAGGGGGATACTGTATCCCAGAACTTGAGGGTGAGGCATATTCCCAAATGCAATTATGAGCTGCCTGTGGTCAGCCTTGTCCATGGGACGATAATGTCTATAAGGCCCTGCCCACAACATAATCCACAGTGAGTGGTAAACTAGCCTGTAGAGAAAAGGCACTGATGTTGAATGTTCTGATGTAACATAGTAAAATGATGGTAGGTTATTAAAAATACAATAACATGAATTTTAGCTTCTATCCAAAATGACTTATTCCCACTCAGCCTACCGAATTTTTCCATGTATAAGACTATACTTTTGTCTAAAATCTTTAGACTAAAAATTGAGGGTTGTCTTATACACGGATGTAAGCTGAGGAGAGAACAAAAACAAGTGGAGGGCAAAGCAGGGATCAAAGTGATCCTGCAGCACTTTGATCCCTTTCCCCCTACATTTGCTAAGCCCCACTTATTTTTCTTAATTTTGGATTAAGAAAATGGGGATGTCTTATACACGGAAAAATATGGTAGTTCCTTGAACTCGAAAGGCATTTCTTAACACCAAGCACTAGAACAGTGGTTCCTAACCTTGTGTAATCTAGATGTTCTTAGACTACAACTCCCAGAAACCCTGGACAGCACAGCTGGCGGTGAAGGCTCCTGGGAATTGCAGTCCAAGGATACCTGGGTTACCCAAGGTTGGGAACCACTGCTGCACGATAAATAGTCTGGGGTGCTTGGGCTTTGACCCAAGGTGCTAAAATATAGATGGCACAATCATTTGGTGCCCATTCATATCTGCAGCTAAAAGGATGCTGATAGGGCAGGAGTCACAGCTCTTATGTGGCCAAAGAAGTATCAATCGAGTATTTTGTATAGGAGGAGGAAAGATCATTATTCACTGTCTGTGAGACTGACCTTAATGGTGCCAGTGCGTAATCCTGCTGCAACCCGTGTCCCATCATTATTGAACTGGCAAGAAAGCAGCTGATCTCCACAGTCTCTATAGGATTACATATTTGCATTTGTTAATAGTAGTATTTTTGAAGCTGTTTTTTTAATCTGTAGACCCACTTGGCCACGGAAACTCGCCACTCCTTAAAACCACTGTTTAAATCTCTTGTTTTCCTTGAAAGGCCTATTAGGGTTGGTTCTGACATGCCAGCACAGAACATATACAGAGAGACCTTCAAAACACCTAACAAAGGCACCAATGACAACAATATGAAACCAGCAACAAAACAAAGTAAAACACCACAAAAAAACACAACAGAAAGTTGACCTGTCAGATAACCAGATAAAGCAGAAACAATAGACAAATAGGTCAGTTAAGCTTCCCTCCCCCTCACAAAAGTCTGATGAAATCATACAGGTGGATCACCTGCCAAAAACTCCACTGTGTGGGAAGGAGAGGAATCTTCACAGGGGAAGGTTCTGCTACCAAGTCAGCAACAAAACAAAGTAAAACAACATGATGTAAAAAACACAACAGAAAGTTGACCTGTCAGATAAAGCAGAAACAATAGACAAATAGCTTAATTAAGCTTCTCTCCCCTCACAAAAGTCTGATGAAATCATACAGGTGGATCACCTGCCAAAAACTCCACTGTGTGGGAAGGAGAGGAATCTTCACAGGGGAAGGTTCTGCTACCAAGAAGCAGAGGATGAAATAGTCATTATTTTTGAGTACACATTCCACAACCCGCAAACCAACATGGAGAAGCCTTGAAATAGCTTAATTAAGCTTCTCTCCCCTCACAAAAGTCTGATGAAATCATACAGGTGGATCACCTGCCAAAAACTCCACTGTGTGGGAAGGAGAGGAATCTTCACAGGGGAAGGTTCTGCTACCAAGAAGCAGAGGATGAAATAGTCATTATTTTTGAGTACACATTCCACAACCCGCAAACCAACATGGAGAAGCCTTGCTGGCTGAAGGATCGGATCATAAGTCATTATTTTTGACTACACATTCCAGAACCCGCAAACCAACATGGAGAAGCCTTGCTGGCTGAAGGATCATGGGAGATGTAGTCCCCTATTCATAGCTTTTCCAAACTCTCTGTTGGTTGTCCTAGCTCACATTCCTAGCCTCAACTATGATTGAGACGGGACACCAAACAACGTCCTTCTGGAAGGCCTTCACAAGAAGGTAGGTGGGGAAAGCTGACCTGGACTCCTACTGCTTTAAGGAGGACACTCCCTGTTTTGGATTGTGCTCTGAAAAGAACCAAAAGCTGCCAACAGACTCTACTATGATTGAGGTGGGGACACCAAACAACATCCTTCTGGAAGGGCTTCACCAGAAGGTAGGTGGGGAAAGATGACCTGGACTCCTACTGCTTTAACGGGGATACTCCATGTTTTGAAGTGTGCTCTGAAAAGAACCAAAAGCTGCCAAGGTTTTGGGTGAATTCTGTGGGAAGCAGGGCACATCTCTGCATCTTCTGCCCTATCACCCCCACCCTCCCCATATGTTGTTACCTACATAGTGTGGAGCAGCCGAAGATCGCCAGAAATAGAAGGGCTACTTGTGACGGTATCTTGGGGGACAGGGACGTTACTGCTTGTCCCCGGTGGTGTGGTCAGCCGGCTCCGGCGTGTAGTCTGCATGGCTTGGGGGGTGCAGATCTTTAAGAGGACCAAGAAGCAAAGTTAAGTGTTTTGTCTGTTTTTCTTTTCACATTCTCCTCTTTTTTCCAAAAGGATGAAGAGCAATCAAAAGCTGGAGGACACAGTATATATTTTCAGTGCACTAAATCCCTTAGTCCAGTTTCTGACGTATTCATTAAAGCTACAAAGCGATGGGAAAAGAACTCTGCCGGAAACTACGCAGGTCGCTGCTAGACAGAGGAGTCAATACAGAACTTGGAATTGTTATGTAAACTGGTTATGTATTACTGTTTATCTATTACTCTGCTCTTTCGAAACATGCTGACATCAGTGCTAGCTTTCAGATTACATCTCAGCAACAAGTTACTAATACAGTAGATTGTTTTAAAATCATTTTTATATTTCTCAAAATACAAATAAAAACAATTTAAAGGAGCAATATGGACATATATCCATCCCAATGGCCTTTTGAAAGCCAACTGAGAAATAACGAGCAAAGGTTAATGGTTGTTTCCAAATAAAATACATTAAAACATTATAAAAACAATCTTAGAACTGCTGAGGTGGAAGAGACCCTATGGATTATCCAGTCCAGCCCTTCTCAAAGAGGCTCAGTGGGGAATAAAACTCCCAGCCAGATGCTATCCAGGACAGCTAAGGTTGTTGGCCCCACCCTCCTCAGTCCTCCTTAATGTATTATAAATAACATCATCAATTGTAACACTCTCCAAGGCAAATGCTCTCCTGCCCCATCATTTCCACATTTCATGATCTCATCTACTGCCAAAACTTGCTGCCCCTTATCCCTCCCCTTGAATAATTTACCTTTTGGGGCTACAACTCCCAGACAGAACCCTCCAGGCAGTATAGTCCACAACCATGCTGACTAGCAGATTTCTGGAAGTTGTGAACCCCCCCCCCAATGGAATTTTCCCATGCTTAGTAGTATGCTGAAGCTTTCTACATTCCTAACATTTACTGCTCCCAGAGGTTGTTTGTCTAGAAGTGGTAGCATCTGATTAACACTTTGGGGCAGAAGTCTGGGATTGCACTGTGTCCACAAGAGCAGCAGGGCTGCCTTATTGAATCCGGAATAAATAATTTAATACATGTTACTACTGCTTAAAAAAAATCTCACCCTCCAGAGATTAAAATTACCTAAATGCACCACTGCTTGTTCCCCCTCCTTACTCTGTCTCTCCACTTGGATCCTTAATCCCCATTTAGTAAACCTTTCCAAGGCAAATGCTTTCCTGCCCCATCACTTCCACATTTCATGATCTCATCTACTGCCAAACTTTGCTGCCCCTTATCCCTCCCCTAGCCCCTCCCCTCCCTTCCCCTCTTCCTCTCTCTCTCTCTGGTTCTTTATCAGCTCCTAGCAACCAATGATGAAGAAGCAAGAACCCAGCCGGTCACCATGGCACTTGCAAAAGGAGGCTGAAGGTTCTCAAGGAGAAGAGGATCCCATCCTCCCAAGCCCTCTAAACTGATGCCTTCACCATAACATCTGGAGACCTGAGAGAGAACCTCAGTGTCCTGAATCCAGCCCTTTACTGCTGCCTTTCCCTTCCCATCCATATATCCTACTCCAACGAAATGCGGCACCATTCACTCCATAATTTCAACGGGTGAGCCCAGACCTTAGTTTGGTTTAGATTAGGCTTCAGAGACCTTACAGAACAGATCCTTGGGTTCACACATCTGCAGACTTTAGGTAGAGCACTCTGACTTTCCTTCTCCACAGGAGTTTACCTTACCTATTGGTGTAGGAATAAAGAAGGTAAGGTAAAGATTCACCTTGACATTTTAGTGTCTAGGGGGCGGTGCTCATCCCCATTTCCAAGCCGTAGAGCCAGTGTTTGTCTGAAGATAGTTTCCGTAGTCACGTGACCAGCGCAACTAGACACAGAAAGCTGTTTAACTTCCCACCGAGGTGGTACCTATTTATCTACTCACATTTACATGCTTTCGAACTGCTAGGTTGGCAGGAGCTGGGACAAAGCGACGGGCGCTCACTCCGTCGCGTGGATTCGATCTTACAACTGCTGGTATTCTGACCCTGCAGCAGAGGCTTCTGTGGTTTAGCCCGCAGCGCCACCATGTCACTTTCTAGGAATAAAGAAGGAACTAATTTTTAAAATCCTATTTAGATATTCATCACTGCCAGTGGTGTTTCTGTAGAGGCATTAAAATTAATAATAATCTAATAAACTTAGAACTGCAGAGCCGGAAGGGGTGCTTAGGGATCATCAAGTCCAGCCCCTGTCAAGGAGGCACAATAGGGAATCGAACTCCCAACTCTGAGCTATCGGGAAGCTGTTCCCCAGCATCAGGGGTTGGCCATGATAAGTCCTATTTTAAATGGGTCGTTGTCTCTTTGAATGGCTTTTGGACAGCAACCCTCAGTCTGACGGGCTGTATAGTCCAAGTTTTAAACTTTAAGTCATCATAAAACAGGAGAGCAAGGATCTGGAAGCTGCTTGTAAGCACCAAGACAGAGGAAACACGGGTCCCCCCCATCAGGCTGTTACCTGTGATAGTGAGATAAATTATACAGTATTTCTATTTTAATTATATTAAGTATGTTGGCTTGGTCATGTCATGAGAATGGCTGATGGTCGGATTCCAAAAGATCTCCTATATGGAGAATTAGTGCAGGGAAATCACCCCAGAGGGAGACCACAGCTGCGATACAAGGATATCTGCAAGCAGGATCTGAAAGCCTTAGGAATGGACCTCCAGAGATGGGAAACCTTGACACCTGAGTGTTCAGCCTGGAGGCAGGCGGTGCAGCATGGCCTCTCCCAATTTGAAGAGACACCTGTTCAGCGGGCCGAGGCAAAGAGGCAGTCCCGAAACCAGCCAAATCAGGGAGCTGGACAGGGGACAGATTGTATTTGTCCTCAGAGTGGAAGGGATTGCCACTCTCGAATTGGCCTTCTCAGCCACGCTAGATGCTGTTCTCAATTCAGAGCATGTTACCATAGTCTCCCGAGACTGAAGGATGCCTACCAATTACTTTTAGATCTTTATCTATACATAGACATCAGCACATACATATTTTATGGATTTGTTGTTGTTTTGTTTATGTATTTTGTGATGCATTTCCTCTTTTTGTGGGATACAAAAGTGACTACCCTACTCACATCCACCTGCAGTATGACTGAGCCGATACCTGCTCATTGCCACTTGATGGACTAGGAGCAAGAATGGTGGTAAGTTCTCAGGCAAATTCACCACATGTCTTCCTTCCAATTCATGTATTCACTGCATTCCCAGCCCTTTTCCAAAACAACAGAACCACATCTGTACACCGTCCTATCACTACACAAAGCCTAATTTAAGAGCCCTTTAGCCTTTTCCGTCTTGTTGGATTACACTTCCAATTCCTGCTACAAGTAATCTGTACCAGTGGGGTGAAACAAGTAGCAAATAAATAGTCCAAGTATTTCCCCTCTCTTTTCTCTTCTAGATCTACATGTAGATTGGCTTTCTTTTTTGTCTGAGTTTGCTCCTTCCTTTTCCTCTTCCATTTTTAGTTAGAAAAATGGCTGACAGAAAACCCACATTCATAGAGTTCAGTATTAAGGGTCCAATAAGTTTTCTCAAGGCTCCTCCTCCCACAATTATCAGTTTCCCAAGTGATTGTTTCTCTTCAACAGCCACAAGCTCAGCAGTAGGCCACCACCCTCTGCCAGTGCAAGGACCGAATACTATAATCCCAGCATACCCATTCTGGCTGCCATCTCTTATCATGTGGCAGCTGTTAATCTAGGGAGGGAAGGAGGATTTATTCAGCAGATGTCACAGCCAGGAAGAGGACAAAAACGCCTAGATGGATGAGGAGATCAGAAGTGAGGGGAAAGATAATCCCTCTTCCACCCCTCTTCTATAAATCATCCTGGTTGTAAAAACCAATCCTCTTCCGTTAAAAGAGACAGGCAACGGGAAGATTGCAGTGAGTGCCACAGACCCTGGACTAGAAGAACACCATGCAGAACACCTTGGGACCGGCTTGCATCTTTCTGCGCAAGGGCATTGCTGAGAAGCAGGGGGTATGGGCTACCCAGGGCTGGGGCAAGATGGCGGTGGGATTATACAGCCCTTAGGGGCAGGACGGAACCCCTAAAGGTCCAAAACAAAGCCCAGACCTCCATTCTCTCTGGGAAGGTGGGGGGGTTAAACCAGACTCAGTTGTAGCAGGATAGAGGTGCCCAGCTTTGACTCAAGGAAGGGCAGTTTGCTGTCTGGGATGGTGTAGGAATGAATCCTGGGGACCAGATTCTGAGGAGAAGAGGGTGGCAAGTTAGAGTGAGGTCCAAGAGGAAGTCCAGAAGTTCTGGGTTCTCTGCACGAGGAGCTGCTAGATAGCTCAGTGGTTTAGGCATCTGACTGGGGAGCCAGAGATTGGGCGTTCAATTCCCTATTGTGCCTCTTTGATAAGGGCTGGACTTGATGATCCATAGGGTCCCTTCCAATTCTATGATGATGATGATGAAGAAGGGAGCCAGAGATTGGGCATTCAGTTCCCTATTGTGCCTCCTTGATAAGGACTGGACTTGATGATCCATAGGGTCCCTTCCAGTTCTATGATGATGATGATGATGATGAAATCATTTTGTAAGTAGCTGAAGGCAGCTGGAAAGAAACACGGCTGTTCATTTTGTAAGTAGTTGAAGGCAGCTGGAAAGAAACACGGCTGTTGGTAGGGTGTGCCCTCATTGCCACTTATGCCTCGGTTAAACAGGGAGTTTCCAACTCCCACCCATTCTGTTTGTTCGGCCTCTCTCCCTCTCAGGGCTGTTTTTTTTTTTCCACCTGAAGATTGGACTCTGGTCGGCCTGAAGGCTGGATGCAATGTCTTTAAGAAAGGGGCCAATGCTTTTTGCATCACTGAGTGGGCAGCTATCCTGTCCCTGAGTGGAAATGATTCTTTAATTGGTAATGGCCATTTTGTTGTCATGGTGGAGGCTTTCCTTAAATTGTATCAATTGCTTTTTTTGTTTGTTTGGTCTTCAGGAGTGAAACAGCACAGATTTTGTGTTTTTACGTTTGATTTCTCATAAAGGAAAGCCTCCCTAAGTCATGCAGCTTCAACGTGAATTCAGCCCTAGTGAAAGGGCATCATGCAGTTCCACTCTCAATCATGTCTGCTTTGGGCTTGGTTGGTTTGGCTTTCTCCTGAATCTTCCTCCTCCCTCCACCCCCAAACCACCTCTATTTCTGAGCAGGTAGATTGTAGATACCTCTGATACTATTCCTCACCTTTATTTACTTGAACTTTTGAGGGAGTTTTCCTCAGGAGCTTGTTTGTGGATCATTGGGTCTAAAAGCAGGATGAAATGGTCTCCACCTTTCCATCCCTAAACCTTCTCGGCCAGATACGGTATGTGCTCCTCCATTCTCTTGAGGTTGGGTTGCCGGATTTCAGGAAACCTGTCGAGTCTCCTTCTTTCATTCTCCATCTCCCAGCGATTGCCAGTTCTGTCATTCTGTGCAGAGTGTCCTGTCATAGTGGGATCCATTTTGTCCTTCGCTCTGTGCCTCCAAATATTGAACCGTCTCCAGCTGGAGCAAGGCTGTGTTCTTGCAGGTCGATGCAGTGATTTCAGTCAGCCTCAGGGGAGAGAAGGCTTTGTTTAGGAACTGAGTTCAGTAAGACTGGGGTAGGGAGGCAGTTTAGGACCTGCAGCTTCTGAATTCTGGGTTTCTTCACCTCTGGGGAAAGGAGCAATCTCAAGGGGCCTAGATCTGTGAGCAGCACTTGTAAGTTGTCTTTCTACTTGACTGAATGGCAATGAAAATCTTTGCCTCTCGTTTGCAGGAGCGGGAACTAGGTGCGGATGAAATTGAAGGTACGTATGGACCTGTATCGGTGTCCTTTGTAATCTTGAAAAATAACGCTTCAGATTCTTGTTCTGTAAAATTCTGAGGTAATTTGGAAATCCACGAGGGATCTCCTCAATGTGAATTGACTGCACCATTTTTTAAAGTTTTTAGATTATACTTTTATTATTGGTGTGATATTTTAGTATTTTGCTTTGCTGCAGTTCTATTTTAACTGTTTGTAAACCACCCAGAATAGCGCTTCAGCAATATATAAATATGTGTAGCAATATATATAGCACTAGCAATAAATTTTAAAAAAATAAAACATGCATGCATGCATGCATGCATGCATGCATGCATGCATGCATGCATGCATGCATACATACATACATACATACATACATACATACATACATACATACATACATACATACATACATACATAGGTCAGTGATAGATAAAGTAGGCTTTCCATAAACACACATTTGTTTGCCTTCATCCCTATGCCCTTTGTGGTGCAGTTGAAAAGGAATGACTGGCTGCAACATGTCACAGGCTCCCCCTCCCCACCTGCTGCCCCCCTGATCTCTTAGAGTCACCCCCATGAAATTGGGGATCATGGAAAGTAGATCCTCAGCATGTCTGGAGAGAGTAGCTGCTGGTTTGGGGAGGGTTGCTTTGAAACATACTCAAAACCCTCCACAATGCACAGGGATTCAGTTGCAGAGGTTGCAGCAGACCCGTCAACACTGAACATCTTCTCTTATGAGGTAGAAATGTGGGAAATCACTAACACTGAGGTTTCAAATGACGAGACAGAAGCAAACGAGGATTTGTGTCTTGTTTAATAGAGGAATGGAGTACCAAGTTGAGATGGTCGATTAGATTCCCTTCTTACAGCTTGCTGCAAATTAGATTGTGCCTGGAGTGTGGCCCTGCAACTCCAATGGGCCAGGTCCCTATCCTCTGTGGGCTGGATTAGGCCTGCAGGCTGAATATGCTTCACCCTGCGTCAGTGCATGTTGTTATGTTTTACTTAAGCTAGCTCCAGTTCAATACACTGCAGCTATGTGCACAGAGTGCTCTGTGGAAGTTGCCACAGGGATCTCACACAGTGCTGGCTGAGTGCTGTGAAGGTCATCCCCGGCATGTTGTGACAACTTCCACAGACTGAGTTTCCATGTGTGCAAATACTAGTCAGATTAGTGACTTTGATTGCTTAATTATCACCACCATTATGACTTACAATCATTGTCATTTTATTGCCTTTATGCAATAAGCAGAACTCCGTGAGGCTTTTGACGAGTTTGACAAGGACAAAGATGGATATATCAGCTGCAAAGATTTGGGCCACCTCATGAGGACAATGGGGTACATGCCCACAGAGATGGAACTCATAGAGCTGTCACAGCAGATCAACATGAATCGTAAGTGCAAGTTGCTTGAGAACTCAATGTGGAGGAACACTTAGACCAGGTGTTAAATGATCCTGTGACTCCCCCCCCCTCGGATATTGTTAGGCTCCAAATCTCTTCCTATCAACACAGTTGTTGCAGGTAAACCTGGAGGGCTGCAGGTTCCCCAATCCTGATTTGGATAAAGAATCATAATAGAATACATTGAGTTGGAAGGGGCCTATAAGGCTGACTCCAACTCCCTGCTTTAACGCAGGAATCCAAATCAAAGCAGCTCACTAAGTTAAGAACCTGGCTGGAGGTGTCTTCTCCTGGGAGGGACAATTCCTCACTTTGCCTTCCAGGAGAAGAGCCAACCTGTGTAGCCTTGGGCAAGCTGGACCCAGAAGGAAATGGTGAATTTCATCTGGATGCTCTGTACAGTACCTGGAAAATCCTGGAAAGAGCTGCTACTGTAAATTGGAACTGACTTGTTTAGCAATATATATAGTACAATGGTTGTTGTGGGTTTTTCGGGCTCTTTGACCATCTTCTGAAGGTTGTTCTTCCTAATGTTTCACCAGTCTCTGTGGCCGGCATCTTCAG